AATCAGTATAATCAAACACAGCTGGACTCAAATGAAGGAGTAGAACCATCTCAGGGATGATCAGATGAAATGGACAGAGCCTAAGTTAAATATATGAGTGTCACAGCAAAGGGTCTGAATACTTATGACCATGTGATATTTCAGTTTGTCTTTTTTAATAAATCTGCAAAAATGTCAAAAATTCTGTGTTTTTCTGTCAATATGGGGTGCTGTGTGTACATTAATGAGGAAAAAAAATGAACTTAAATGCTTTTAGTATATGGCTGCAATATAACAAAGAGTAAAAAATTTAAGGGGGTCTGAATACTTTCCGTACCCACGGTATTGTAACTCACTCTGCAATTCACACCAAATGACAAATGTACTAATTCATCCTTAGCACAGTACAAACTTTGCATCTACCACTTCTTCAGGAGGAAAGTAGTGATGGATAAAATGAGTTTTTTTAGTACTGAATCAACTTGAAGTGCTGATGCACTGTGTCGAATCATTTGACACAGTCTAAAATGGCAACATTTATCAGTCAGATCATCGATACCGCATTTCCATAGGTGAAGTAAATCAGATCGGGGAGAAACAGTATAAGCAGCCTTAATGATTTTATTATTATTATTATGTTTAAAATGCATTTGTGTTATGAAGTTTTATAATGAGTTTCATCTCATCATTTAGCTGTCCAGTCCACAACTTTACTGTTTTGGTACACTCACAATTATTCAGTAAAAAAGCTGTTAGGTGGAGCATTTAGCGGCTAAAGGGCCTATTTTTTCCCTCAGGAGTTGGTGGAGACCAAAACCAGAGTTGGTATCAAATTTACTTTCATCAAATGGCCAGAAACACAAGTTCAAAAGCATGATATTGTTTCTCTGCAACTGCAAAGCAACTCTTTGCTAACAAATCTGCCCTGTCAACTTAGGAAGTTTCTACAAGAAAATTATTTGCAAAAAGTTACATACTGTAGCTTTAAGCTGAAGTCAAAGAATGGCGGATGGCATTATACAGCTTAGCACCACAGAAACTTCAGCCAAGCCTTTAGTCAGCAAATCAGCCTGAATTCATTCACTTTGGTTACTTCTTCACTTAAGGTATCAGTTTGTTAAAGTTTCTGTCTGAACACCCATAATGTTAATTGGCATACATCAGGTTTGTTTTCAAAAATCTCAGTACCATGTCACTAGTGCAAGGTTTGTCAGACTTAACACACAAGTGGAGGCTAAAAGTTTTCTGACAGTAATATAAATAACACACACTTTCTCTTTATTAATTCCTGCTATCCCATCCCTGCTTCATTCTACGCTCAATTAACACATGCTTTAAGCCTCACTGGAAGCAATCTTAAATCTGTCATCATACCTCCCTTCGGTGTGAGTGAGAAGGCAGTATCATCTCTTATAGTGGCTCATTACCTGGGTGAACTATTCTTCTGTCATGCTCGAGCGAAGAGTGTTTCATCCCTGTGCTGAAGCTTTTCATCAAGCTGAGATTGCTCAGAGCTGAAGCAAAGGTGTTCTGAAAGTAACTTCTGACAATAATACACAAGAATTCATAAAAATTTACATTTGGAACATAACAGACTGACAAGGTATGCTGTTGCAGAGGAAGGTCTGTGTGAAAACCCTTATTTCGTCCTCCCAAATACACAAGGTTGGCAGCTCTGAGCAACTCAGCACCACCAAAGGATATGATTGCTGAAAGGGGAAAGCTACAATACAATGGCCTTGTACTGGTTTCATCCAACTGCTCTGCATGGTCATAGACTCAAGCATTATGGGGTGCATTTAGATGGCTATTTTTATTGGTTGTCCTACTTTTGCTCCGTTTCTGCTTGTCTTTGAAAAGTATTTCCAGTCTCTGATAAGTGTGCATCATTACACCACCACCGCATCAGCGCAGCTTAAAAGAGGCTGGATGTGAAGATGAGATAGGGTTTCATTGGGGTTAACTGTGCCGCTGACCTTTGTGTGAACTCTGATTTGTTGATGTTCCCCCATATTGCAACGTTTCCTCCAGGCGAGAATCTCTAAGTAGCTTTTCCTCCACTTCAAAGGGAACCAATGTAGGGCTGCTTTGCATAATCAGGTGGGGAACAGCTTTTTGCCAGAGAGGTAGGAATTAATTTGTGGGACCGCCAGATGTAATCATTAAAACCCTAGTCATTGACAATAAGGGGAGAGGAGGAAGGGAAATTAGGGGAGGAATTGTAGAACAGTAGATAGAATGAGAAAGAGCTATGGAGCATAGAAAGGTTCTGAATGCCAGAGGATACAACAGCTATGCGGATTAATCCGCCCTGAAGTCAGTTAAAGCAGAGTTTTTCCAGTATGTTGGCATGAAGTTAACCCTTACTTCTCTTACCTTTATTTTATATGTACTTCACTATTTAATGGTGTACAAAGCGATGAAAACATCATGAGAATGGATTGGATGTTAAGAAAACCAGAGTTATTTAGGCAGCTACTGTACTATATGTCAGTCATACTAAAAACCGTTTAGCAGCTCCGTTAACGGCCTGTAAGTGTGCATGATTCAGCTTTACTGCTTTCATTAACCCAGTTAATAAAACCCAGTGTACTCTAACTGCACAGCACATAAACAAACAAGGATTTTTTGAGTTATTTTATTTTTATTTTTTCCAGTTTGATGCATCCTTATACAGGATGCTGTATAGAACTGACTTATTTGTGCTGTTAAAATCCTTTCAAATTAAAATCACCATCTGTCAGTATTTTGCCATTTTTGAAAAATGTTTGACTTGAAGTGTTTGCTACCGAATGTACTGGACAGTTAACAAGTAGGTCTATAGATTTAATGCCCTTTGGGGTATCCATCATTCATTTAAAATGTCAGAATTTGTCAATATTCCATCAGTGGAAGTAAGAGACCAGGATCGCTGCTTTTGATTGATTGTTACACAACTAATCCCTGAGGGGGAAAAAGTCTGCAAAGAATGAAAACTTACTGTATAGAGGTGAAGTCAGGCTTACCTTGTGCACAGAATAACATGAGTTTTGTTAATTATACTACAACCTTTTATAGAAGCTGAAGAACTCAAGGACAAGTACACACTGCTGCAAAAAGTGAACAAGCCCACTAATAAAGCCTGCAGTTGGCAATGCTGGTAGAAACATTTCATGGTCCAGGACTGGGCCTACCAGCTACTGCACACCTTAAAAAGTCATCTTCTTGTCACTTGTGGGTAAGTATATGTTGAAATAGCCCCAAATGTGACACTATCACCTGGGCCACTTCACAGAAAGACTGTACAACT